TTACTACTACTACTACTACTACTACTACTACTACTACTACTACTACTACTACTACTACTACTACTACTACTACTACTACTACTACTACTATACTCCCGTTTTCCTCAGGCGCGGCCGTGGAGGACAAATTATTCCCTAAGACCAACTCTCTCCTAGACGGTCGGGCTCAGCCATTGGCTGATGTACAGGAGTTTGCCCTCAAGATACAGGTCAGTAACAGTTATTTGCCTTGTTCTTCTTTTTTCCTCATACATTTCCACCCTTGTTTTAAAAAAAACCCCATAATGTTCAATGTCCTACTAAATACAAGCTGCTGGTGGCCCAGGCTGTATAATTACCCGTATTATTATTGATATGTGTGGCCTACTTGAGGGCTCTCGTCAATGGCCACCTGTCTAAAAGCTGTTGCCGCGTTATATTGCTTGATATAATATGGAGGTTTTTTTAAGGTTAGAAAACAAGTTGAAGTTTTGATCTTCTATTGGGCGTTGTTTATTATGTTTTGATACAAATGTACCAGTAATAATGGAATTGGTGTTTGGAATTTAAAATTTGTATACATCTTGCTCTTCTCTTTGTATTGACCAAAAATGTATATATATGTTGGAAACAAAACAGCTGCAAGGGATGGGCTTATTGGAGCTTGGGTGTAGAGCTTCAAAGACAAGGTGCATGTTTCTTACAACGCTATTGTCATGTTGTGAGTGTTAGAATGGCTTAAAGAATGTTTTTATTTTTTGGTTGTATTGATGTAAATGAGAGCAGGTTTTGCTGCAATACGAATCATAACATAGCAAAATTATCTTTAAATCATTATGTCAGGATTTAAGTAAGTATGGGTTTAAACCCCCCCATCAACACCATTAGGATATTTCAGAGACGGGACCTCGGAGTTTAACATCTGTCTCTGATAGGGCCAGGACAGATGGGTTGAGAACCTTGAAGACTCCACAAAACAATCAGAGTTCAAGACAGCCCAGTCTTGGATTCGAACCAGGGCCCCCTGCTAACGTAGTCCACCATGATACCGACTGAGCTAATGGTGTACCCTTCAGGATTTAAAATGCTTTTGGGAATTTGTTCACTGACTGATATCAGTCCTTTTGTCTGTTTTGTATAACCTCTGCTGTTTGGTGGGGATCAGGGGGGGGGGGGTGTACAAACAGTGTGCCGTCCTACAGCAACAGAGGGTGCAACGCCACTAAGGCAGAGAAGTGTGACTTTCTCCAGTATCTAAGCTAGTCTGTTTTCTGCCAAACTCTTATGTAGCTCAAAGAGAAAACCTCATTGACAATAGATTTCAGAAATTATTTTCCAATGATCTGGCTGTCTTGTAGAATGTTAAACTAATACATTTTTTAAAATCCTCTGTTGTGTCCCACAGGCAATGAAGGAGGCCCAGCGAGACCCAGACTTCAACATCGTGGCCCGTGTGGAGGCGCTGATCGCGGGCTGGGGCGTGGACGAGGCCTTGAAGCGAGCAGATGCCTACCTGCAGGCAGGGGCCACCGCCATCTTGATGCACAGTAAACTGTCCGAGCCCACGGAGATCCTAGAGTTCCTCAAAGCCTGGCAGAACAAGGTGGAGTTTGCTTTGACTGGTTTTTTTTGTTTTGTTCCGAAGGAGAAAGAAACTGGAGTAGGGAGAGGGGGTGGTGAAAGTGAGATGAGGGTGGGGGAAGGAGATGATTCTTATATGTTGTTATATATATGACTATAATATTCTCTTTTCATTTGATGTTCAATACGTATCCATTACACCAGCGTTGTGGCACTTCAATACATGCGCGAACACACTTTTGTGTTCTGATTTCGCACAATTTTAACAAGCCAGATTTTTTAAGGTCACTTTTGAGTGACCATATCTCAGGCGTCTTTTAACATAAATGAAATATTAATGTAAATTGGTATGCTGTAGGAGTGGGTAGTGCAAGCTTATAACACGATGACTGGGTGATTACTTTTTCAAGTTTCTTTTGGACACCACAATAAAGTGCATATCCATGTTCTATGACCTTCTCTTTGCTCACTACAACTATTTAATTTGTTGTTTTCCTTGTTTGTTCTGCCTTGGCACCTTTGTCTGGCTGGGACCTTGTATCTATAAGCCCGGTTTCCATTAGTTGAATACTTTGTCACAATCCATGACCTTTGACTTATGTCTGTGGAGCAGGGCCCTGTGGTGCTGGTACCCACAACTTACTACAAGACCCCCATGGATGTTTGGAGAGAGCAGAATGTTTCCCTGGTCATCTGGGCCAACCATTCGATCCGGGCATCGGTCAAGGCTATGCAGGAACTGACTGCCAGGATCTACAAGGAGCAGTCGACAGCTGGATTAGAGAAGGAGGTGAGGGGTATTATTGGTTCTTGTTATGCGTCAGAATCTGTGTCCTCATAAACTTTTTGTACTATCTATATAAATAGTACAAATCTATGTTTTGTCTCTTTACATTAATGGCTGAGATTGTGCAAAATGGATGCTTCAATATTATATCCCACCCGTTAAACCCTTTTGATCTGCGAAGAATCTAAAATATTATTTTTAGTTGATTCAGATATCTTTTGCTGACTTGATAAGTGAATTGTATAGCATTCCCTTTAGTAACAATAAAACTGCTTTCTTTCAGACTCTTTCCCCATTTCTAAAGGGTCGTTTTCATGTGCAAAAAAGCAGTGAATATTTCGGTTTTCTATCCCCCTTGATGGCTCCATGAAAAAGATCTTTTTGGTCATGATTTATCCTGCCTTTGAGAGACCGTCTTACAAGTATCCTTTCAAATAAAATTATTTGTACATAGTTTCATGTACAGGAATGAGATGGACCTTTTAGATCAATCTCAATTATCAGCCGAGTCTAGTTTGAAAGACCTTTTCAATCTATAATTTCAACCCTTTTTGCTGTCTCTTTTGAGGGAAAATTTTACAAAAGTGCATTAAAAAAATGTCAGGTACCGTCTATAATTTGTCATCTGATAATGTCTAACACATGACAGGCAGGCACATATCGGGTAAGAAAAGAAATTTGAGATATCAAAAGTAGCTCTAAAAAAAAATCACTCTTGTCATGTTTGTGTCATGAAACAAAAATGTAAATAAATGTGAGGTTTTTAGCTGTATAATTTCTGTTATATTAGCTATGCAAGTGAGAGAGCAGATGACGTAATGTGTTTTTCAAAGCCTCCCTTCTACTTTTGTTATTTTTTTATAAGATAATGATTATCTTTCTTCCCGTGACACCCAAAAGGGTATAAGTGGCGGATAAAAGTAAAGTAAATAATGGTTATCAACCTTAAAAGCATCAATCATCTGAGGTCGTTGTTTTAATTGGAACTGACAGTCCTTGAATTTCAGCACTTTCATTTGCAGACCATATATATACATTCATCTGTTCTCATTTATTGGTTTTTAAAACAATCAATTGTCTTGATTTGCTCCTTGTTTAGATTGTTGCAGTCAAGGAGCTCTTCCGACTGGCTAGAGACCAGGAACTGAAGCAAGCTGAGGACAAGTACTTGCCCAAAGTTTAGGGAGAGCTACAGGCAGACAGATTCCAGGAACACAAAATGCTGAACAACACAGAAGGGAAAATAAGAAAAGAAACAAAAATTACTTGAGAGGCTGATTATTTTGTAAGCAAATTCACACTCACTCAAAGAAGGTTTGAGAGATTTAAGGCTTTGGAATGTACATGTAATTAATCAAGACAGTCTTACTCAACTAGTGATACACGGAATCACAAATCTAAGTTTTTCACTTAAAAACTTTAGTACAGATTTAATGGAAAAGTAATCTTTTTCGTGTAGAAGAGGATGAGGCATCTTCAAAAAATCTATTATGAACATATAATAGACAAGTTAGTTTACAGCTCGATGCATTGTTAAACTACTGTGTTGGAAGCATTATGAATACAGCCCCAGCTCAAAGTACATCCTCACTTCAGACTCAGACACTATGTGGCTCATATTGAGATTTGTTTTTGTCTGCTCTTATTTATTCTGTCTAACTTACTGATTTGGCAGTATTGAATACAGGCATTATCTCTGTATGGTTATGCTTATCTTTCTACTTATATCATTCATATTTTCTCAGGTCTTTTATTTTTCTCTCTCTCTCTCTCTCTCTCTCTCTCTCTCTCTCTCTCTCTCTCTCTCTCCCCCCCTCTCTCCCTCTGTCTCTCCCTCCCCCACTCTCTCTGTCTTTCCCTCACACTCATGATGTAGATAAATACATTCCTACATTTGCTGTATGAGCTTTTGACTGGGTTATTGAAAGAAAAAGTTTGTATTTTGATCTGTTGTCATTTTCATGTTCACTTACACATAATTAAATGCTCATGTGTACACGCACATACACACACACACACACACATACACACACACACACTCACACGCACGCACACACACGCACACACACACACACACAAACATACACACTTACAAAGGCCTCTCTCTGCATTACGCAGTTTCTTGTTGATCTAAGCCATACAGGAGAGTGGTTTATAGGAGGCAAGATTTGAAATCTTCATTATCATAAAGTGTCACATCTGAAACAGACATCGATGACCATGGCTTCCCATTCAATTCTCCACGCTCAGATGCTCTCAAAAAACCTGTATTCTCCTGGTGTTGTTTCCCCATTTGATCAACCAATACAGATAGATATAAATGATATGGGACACAAAGTGACAATAATGCCTGTGATTCTGAAAAACACTTTTTGACGTGTCCACTCAGAACCATGACAGATTATTCTACATCAGTAGTACAGTTCATGTTTTGTAATGTATTTCTGTGAAACAAAAATGAAATGAGCTAAGGTGGGTCTTCCATTGCCTGAAAGAGCTACAGTTAGGGTCGTGATGTAGCATGAATTTCTGTAGAACAAACATTTTCAGATATGGCTACCTCCTGCCGAACATCATTGATTATTATCAATTAATTGTTAGAAAAACACCCATGGTATCCTTTAAATATTAGGAAAACTCTGAGGATATTAATTACATGATGCTATTAAAGCATCAAGTACCAATTGATGTTATGAAAACGCCCACGATATCTGTAGAATGTTTAGAAAATATCAATAATTATCAGTTCGATGTTAGATAAACCATCAACAAGCATCAGTTCATTGTTATGAAAACATATAAACATTTATAGTAAAATATTATGGAAACTCCAAGGATATTGATGTAAAAAATGCTATGAAAATATTTTGCTATTTTGTAGCTATTTCTGTTTGCAAACGCAAGAGCTATAATTAGAAATGACTTCGCTGATGATTTGGCACATTTATCACTAGAATCTAGGTTCTGTGTTTTTACATTTTGGCAGACAGGGATTTTTTTGTGTTTGTTCACGAGATAGACTGTTTTTAGTTGCTTTTATTTTGTACTATAATTGTCTACTTTATTTTTTAAAATATATCTGTGATTCTTACTGTTGAGTTTTTTTTTATTGTAATGCACTTTATGTTGGGTTTTTCCACCCCTTTTTGTTTCTGTTTTTTGTTTTTTCAAGATTTTTGTATCTTTTATTAGGCATGATGTGTTGTCTCGGATTTGGTCTGATATTTCTTCAGATTTTTATGTCTCAAATTTTGTAGGTTTTTTTTTATGTTGTTGTTTTTTGAGCGGGAGTTTTATTTTTTACTCATTTATTTTTTGGGGTTTTTTTGGTCTGGTTTAGTGAATCAGTTTTGGTGGTTGTTGATTGGGAATTCTATCAAAGTTGTTGCTGCATCATATCATCAACATCATATAAAATATGTTGCATTGGTCTAATACAATATTATGAGTAACTTATTTTAGTAGATATGTTTTCCAACATTTTAGTGGGATATGATAGAGCTCTGTTGGGATAAAATAAAGAATTTGAATACTGTACACTTTTGAGCAATTTTTCAGGTCACATAATTAACAACAGGATAAGGGTAAACCATATTTTTTTATACAGTATTTGAAGTTTGAACATAGTTAGCTCCACAGGACAATCACAGCATATTTTGGTATGAGTGTACACCTCTTAACTCTGTTCTGTTATATCTCCTCCATTTGTGTCACACTTAAAATTTATTTTTATTTTTTTTGGTATAATTTTATTCCGCTAATTTTTCTAGACATTCCAAGAGCTAAGCTTTTTGTGATGTCTACATCGAGTCATACTCACTCGGTGAATGCAAGAAGCAGAATACTTTTGGTTAGAAAAGAAACACTATTGAAAATGTGACTGACATTTTAGATCATTACGAACATCTGGGAAAACACCCTCAAGATTACTCGTCATGACTTTACAGAAATTAAATTTCTGACATTTAATTGATAGTTTGCTTTCCATGATCAGTCGTAATTGACAAATTGACAATCTAAATTGACTATCCTACTTCCGTCAATGAAATAACAAGGGTTGATTCAGTCATGGTTTCTATGAAAGAGATCTTCCTAGATTTCCGAGTAACTTTAATTTCGATGTATTCATGAATTATGTGATCATAAAAAAAATATCTGGAAGGAAGGACTGAAATGGCCCAGCCCCATCTCCCTTTTGATACCTGTGTTGATTTGGGTGTAAAAACATTTGCAGTCTATCATTTTTTTTATATCCAGAGAAAAGTTTGTTAAATGTAAGACCCCAATTGTTGTGCTGGAGTCAAGCTAAACCCGTGTCTTGGTGTGAGATCTGGTTCACGCTGAAGGCTCAACTACTTTGTATTCAGAATATCTTATCCTTCCCCTTCCCCCATCCTTCATCGCTTGCTTGCTTTGAAAAGCAAATGGGTGCAATATCATATAGCAAAAGTGATTTGGATACATTTTTATGTAGAGATGTGTACATTGTTTACATAAAAACCCGGTTTCATACGTTTTGTCATCAGGTTGTTCATGTGGTTTTAATCTTGCTAGCATCTCCACCCATTGAAGTGGCCCCCAGAGAGAGTAATGGGGCATGTACTAACTTGGAATGTGCTACAGCCAATTCATACTCTCTGACCCCCACTCCAATAGTCAGCGATGCATCTACTAAGGGTTATCACCTTGATTTTGGGTTTTCTGACCCCCCCCCCCCCTTTTATTCTTATTTGTACTCTCAAACCTTTACTCTCTCATACCCTGTGCTTAATTTTTTCCTATCATTTTTATGCTCCAATGCACACACGTATTAACTTAATCATATTATTATTTATTAACATGATAATAATAATTATTATTATATATAGTCATGCTTTGTTGAATGTAATTTCCTGCTTGTGTTGTATTATTATATCGTAGACCTACTGTTTCACATTGTTCTTTCTTCAGCTTCTACTGTTGTTTTTTGCTCTGGTCTAGATCTGCTCTGTTTACATTTTTTTACAATTTCAGTCTCCTAGAAAGTTTTATAGAGTTTTTAAACAAAAAACGGTGCTAAGCTCAAGGAAATACCAGTATTTTAAAGTCATGTAGTAATCACCTCGGTTGAAATATATCTGACCTTTACTCCCCACCCTCCCCCCTTGATTTATGTCACGTACCTCTGAGTCAGTTTATCATTATATTGGATGTCTTTACTCTCTGCAGAATCTCTCCTTGTTTGTTAGCATCAGTTGCAATTGCAAAGTTAAGTTAGGCTCTTATTTATCAATTGGAATATATCGGATCTTACCCGTGCTCCCTCAGTTTCAAGTAATCTAAATTTGTACGTATAAATAGTATTGCTTTATGTTTGAAGTTTGTTCCTGATCTTACTGTTATTTGCAGTTTGTAAATGTTGCCATTTTTACTTCTTAAGGGTAGAACATTGGTCTGGGAAAGGAAATAATATATTTCTACATTTTTACAGATTGCATTAAATCTACTGTAGGTATAGGGCCTATATTTTTCATTAATTTTTCAATAGACGTTTTGATCACTTTTATATCATGTTGATGGATGGAATATATGGTGGTCTCACAAATTTTGTTGTGTTTTGTTTTGTCAATGATATGATTATGTATTAAAGTCATGTTGATGCCTGCGTCAGAAAGTACCTTTAAGTGAGCGTGTGGCTTTATTTGTAAGTTGTAAGTTTGCTCTGGCATGTTGGTTGTCTTGGTACCAAAGAGGTTCACATGAATTGAAATACAGGCTAGTCTGGAAAATCCTTTTGCTTGTTGAGTTGTTATTGCTCTTACTATTGTTGTTGTTGTTGTAAACTAGTATCTGTTACAGTGAGTCAGCTAAAAAAAAAATCAACATTTTACTAGCCATTGTAACAAAACCAGTGAGATAACATATTTTTATAAAATTTAAGAAGTACAGGGATTTTGATTAGGATTGTAAAACAGTATTATGTCTTCAACTGATCATATGTCTGAGCTGAAACCAATTAAATCAGTTGTCAAATCACCAAGGTCTTGTAAGATGTGGTTGTTGGCAGGTGCTCTGGTGTGGTTTGCTTCTTCTTTCCTATCAAACATCTATAGTCCTTATATCTCCCCTTCTTCTTTTTTATGTTTGTTACTCTCTTGTAACACCTCTAATCTTCTGGCGCTCATATGACCTTATGCAGTTGCGAGCGCCGTAAAACCTCTACTAAAATTAAAACTAAAGATATCTAAAGGAAATGCTTGCGTTAATGAAAAGATAATATCATTATGATGTTGTATGGTGGACTTTATAGCCTATCATACTTTTCAGTGCAAAATTTGTAGGCGTATATAGTTTACCACATTATCATTCAGATTTTATAGGGTTTGTAAATGAAAGACAACAAAAATGTTGTGTTCGGGCATCATTCAATGCTGACCATCTTGTGTGTTCACGTGTGAATAGGAGTTGAAGAAAGAGGAAGGAGAATTTTGTACCTGCTATAGAT